CACAGACTCTGCTCCGTTCCCTTCCTAAGCTTTTAAAACCCCACAGAAGGGGAGGGGAAAAAAAGCTCCCCCCTCCGAATGTTAGAAAATGAGCTCACCCAAACCTCAGTAGGCAGCAGTGGAGGAGCTGTAGTCCAATCAGGATCTTTTCTGCGAAAGCCAGGCGAGCATTAGTTGAGGGAGAAATCAATTATCAAATAATCGATCAGCAGGGAGCTTCGATCTGCGGGGAAAGTCCTCGCACTACCAATCCTTTCAGCCTCGTTCGAGAGAACCGAAGCTGGATAAGACAGCAGAATTGTTCATCTGTTGTCATGTTAGAACTTACTCAGCAAGATAAATAATACTAATAATTAATAGTTGTTGTTGTTGATGATGATGATGATGATGATGACACCCTGTCTTCGCCCAAGGAAAAAAGAAAGAGAGTGACTGTATAAAAGTTTCTCTCTTATTTAACTCTTTAAAAGGCTAGTGTGTGAAGTCTGGCTTCATCTCTCTAGGAAGAGGGAAATCATGTAAACTCATTTTCACTTCTGGCCCTTCTCTTACTTGTTATAAAGAGATTTCTTCCTGTGGTACCAGAGTAGTTCCAAAAAAGCAACCTCGGGGACTGTGGGAATCGCATCCCCAGGTCTATCTGAGGCCCTCTTGAGCACAGGGCATTAAACTCTGCAATTGGGCAAGGAGTCTCCAAGGTCCCAAACGTCAAATGTGTTGAGAGACTGCTAGCCAGCGTAGTCCGGCCTGATGTTTGTTTTGCTACTCTTGTTCCGATCCGTTCTTCGAATTAGGATTAAGAAAATATGTACCCTATGATCATCGGAAAAGGTGCTCCTTTTTGGATGCTCTGCCAATAGATTCAAACAGAAATAAATCACTGACCGTTTGGGCCAAGCCAATTAGGACTAAAGGGTAACCTCCACAGAAAGAATTCGTGGCGGCGGCTGCAGCAACAGCAGCCTCTAAGTTTAAGTTTATCTCTCCTGTTTGCTACGATTTATGATTTTTGTTTTTTAAGGGAAGGAAGAGATCATGGTTTTCCTTCCTTCCCCTGAAGTGAAAGGATGTGATGCTAACAGTAACAAATTATTGCACTTGTATTAGTTGATGATGAAGATACCTAATAAATCTGGTTTCTTTGCTCATAAGGTATGGTATTTGGGGAGACTGCCTACCACTTTCTCTAAAGTGTTCTTGGTAAGGCAACCTGCAGGCTAATGAAAAGTTAGGCTTTTTGGGGGGAAGAAAACCAGGACTTGGGCATCCAAGGGGTGGAGGGCATAAAGCAAAATCCAGCAGTTCCTTATCCATTCTTGGGGTCGGATCGAGGTAGATCTGAGCCTGAAAGTGACCGAGGAGGAATTCCAGGGTAGGAGTTGACTTGGGGAGTGAAGGATTCCCTATAGCTGTGGCCGAAGAGACAAAGCGATCCACTGGTGCTTGCTAGCAAATATTGTCCCTCTGATACATCTGTGACAAGGCGTTTCAAACTTCCTTCCGAAAAAATGGCCCACCATATATATCCCTAGGGCTCATCATCTCAGGGGAAATACAACAGTTTTCTGCACCAGCAGCGGCAAGGGAAAATTCTATCATCATCATCATCATCATCATCATCATCATCATCATCATCATCATCATCAAGGCTTCCCAGGTAAGGCAGTGTGAATCCCTTTAATCCTGAATAAGTGGGCGATAGCTATTGCTCTCCTGCTTGCTTTCCTTCGCAGAGCCGGGCTGCCCTGGTTGAGAACTTTATTGGGCTGATTCCAAACTGTGCAGTCCTTCTGCACAAGAGGACGCGAGAGCGGTGGGGTGTTATTGCTTCCTACCCCATCAGCGTTCCCAAGCCTCTAGCAGGCGAAAGCGACCCAACTGAGGCGAAAGCACTTTTACAGTGTAATTACAGTAGGACGACAAATTGTTTGCACAGAGCTCCTTCTGGATAAGGGTTTTTTTTACAATTAGCAAACAGTCCCCACTGTTGGGGCTTGCTGTGAGCAATTGCGCCTTAGCCGTCTCGAGTTGCAATATACCGGCCATAAAAAGCCTAAGCCGGGCAGCAATTCATCATCTATTAAAGGGCGGGAAAGAAACGGGCAGCTCCTTACTAGCTCCCTAACCTCCCGAGACAATTCTGCGATCTTATGCTTTTCTACCACAGCGACCCAAGCTTTTCGTCTAGATGGCCTTTTTAGGAAATGCAGCTACGACCCTCGGCCGCCGGCTCCCCTGCCAGCTGTGACCCCATCCAACTCAAAACTTGAGGCCCGGATTCACGGAGCGGCTCTTTCGGAGGACCCTGGCGTGGAACCACGCCCTCTGCCCCCTCTCCTTTTCCCCACCGGCATGTGGGAAGGGGCCGAAAGGGCTCGCGGCCCTTTCGAGGCCAGCGAGTTGATCTCGGCCGAAGCCTCCGCGAAGCCCGGTCGGGCTGCTTCCGAGGCGCTTGCAGACTCTGGGCTAGGGACAGCTCTGGCCGTTCCCAGTCCCAGTTTGAGGGGAGGTGGGAGGGGCCCCGCCCCGCCCAGGGGGCTTCTTTCTTCAGAGGCTCGAATACGGCCCACGCTCCGCAGGCCTCCCAGGTGAACGAGAAGCCCCGTCGTCCCGCGCGGACTCCAGTCCCGAGATGCTGGAGGGCCAGAGATGAGGTTTTCAAAAGGAGGGGATAAGGTTGAACTGGGCTTGCTCCCAGTGCGTGTGACTCGGACCCCGGTTGCGTCTGCCTGAGGCATCAACTTGAGGCGAGTCATTCACGACTTACTCTGGAGGAGTCGCACTAATTTCCGAAAACTCGGGGTAGTGCCCGACAATGGGCGCCCCTGACTTCCAACTTCCGGACGAAAGGCTGTCATTTTCATGTGACCGTCCGTGGCCTCGAATGGGACTCGAAACATTCTTCCCCAACACGGTGTGGGCCGCTGGGACTGC